CAACTGAGCCACTCGTCTGGCCCTCAGTATTGACCTTTTGTTTGTTTGTTTGTTTTCTTCCTCTTCTTGTTAAAGAAGTCCCTTTAGCATTTCTTGTAATACTGGCTTGTTGGTAATGAATTTACTTTAGTTTTTAGGGTATTTTTTGTATTGTTTTTTGGTGTTGTTGTTGTTGTTGTTTTGTCTGGGAAACTCTTTCTTCTTTAATTTTAAATGATAGCCTTAGTACGAACAGCAGTCTTGATTTTACGTCCTTACTTTTCAACACTTTGGAAATTTCCTGCCACTGCCTTCTGTCCTGCAATGTTTGTGTTGAGAAATCAGCTGATAGTATAATGGGAGCTCCCTTGTAAGTAATTACTTGTCTTTCTTTTGCTGCTTTTAGAGCTCTCTTTTTGTCTTTAAGTTTTTCGATTTTAATTTTAATGTATATTTGTGTGGGCACGTTTGGATTTAGCTTGTTTAGGACTCTCTGCACTTGCAGGGCTGTATATTTATTTCCTTCTCTAGGTTAGGGAATTTTTCAGTCATTATTTCTTTAAATAGGTTATTGACCTCTTGTGAACTCTGTTCTCTTTCTGATACTCCTATGATGTGACATTGTTATGCTCGATGTTGTTCCAGAGGTCCCTTAAAGTATCTTTGGGGTTTTTTTGCGGTTCTTTTGTTTTTTAATTCTTTTTAATTCTTTTTTTCTTTTTGTTATTCTGATTGCATGTTTTTGGCTATCTTAGCTTCTAAATCTCTGGTTTGATCTTCTGATTCATCTAATCTGCTGTGGTTCCTTCTAGTGTATTCTTCATTTCAATTGTATTTATTTCTGACTGGTTCTTTTTATGGTTTATATGTCCTTATTTAAGCTTGCTATCTCTTTGTTGAAGTTCTCACTAAGTTCCTTAAGCATTCCTATATCTGGTATTTTAAACTCTGTCTCTGGTAGGTTGGTTGCCTCCATATCATTTAGTTCTTTTTCTGGAGGTTTCTCTTGTTCTTTTATTTGGGACATGTTTCTTTGTTTCTCATTCTGGCTGCCTCTCTGTGTTTGCTCCTATGTATTAGATACATCTCCTGTGTCTCTCAGTCTTTGTTGGGTGGCCTTATGTAGTAGATACCCTGTGTGGTCTAGGGCTTAGTCACCCTGATCACCTGTCTGTGTGTTCTAGGTATGTCTTTTTTGTTTGTTGTGTATATTTTCCTTTTTCAGTTGAGTCTTAATTGATTTTGGTGTCTCAGTAGGTGGATTGACTCTCATGCTGACTGGTTGTGAGGAATGGCTATGACCACAGTGTATGAGCTGCTGTGTTTGGGCTGACCCCTCACAAGAGGCTCACTCCCTTGTGTTCTTGTGCCTGTTGAGACCCCCTTCCTCTCCTTTGGGTGTACCACTTGTGGTTCTAACCTGGTAGTTCTCTGGTATGGTCTGAGGCTGGCCTCTGGGCGTGTTGTTTGTGATGCCTCTTGGGAGGGGCTTCTGTGCAGGCCAATTTCAACCTTGTTTGTCATTGGCTTTGGGCTACCTGGTAGGAACTACGTAGATATATGCAATTGATTTTCTCCTGTGTTTGAATGGGCTTCCTGTGGGATGTCTTCACTGTCTACTGAGGTTGACTGCCACCAGTATCAGGCTTGGGGCAGCTTAACAAAAGGGCCAAGGCCCCCTAGACCTGTTGCCATCTGCTGTCTGCCCATAATGCTCATCCACTGAAAGAGCTTCCTTATGTGTATTGGCTGGCCTGTGTGACCATGTTAACAGTTAACCCGGTGATGCCACCTGAGTTATGTGGGTCAAGGCCCCAGGGATTCATGGGGTATGGCCAGTGGTTTCCACAAAGTTAATGCACATTCAGTTCTTGTGCCAGTGCTGCACCTATGGCCATTCTGCATAATGCCCTGAGAATACTGCAGTCAGCTGTCATTTGCCTCAGGTCCACAGATCCCTTGTTCCACCCACGAAATACTACAGCATGAGCTGGGGCTGACTGTCTGCCACTGAAAGTTTCCCAGGCTGCTGTAGGCTTTCTACTGCTATAGAAGCCTCCAGCAGCTTGTGGGTTAGGATTGGCTGCCCAGGAACCAAGAGTGCCCTTGTGAATGTTGCACTATTGGGCGGATCAGAATCCCAGGAATTCATAGGGTATGGCTGGTGGTTTTTACAGTTAATGCAGATTCAGAGCTGAGCCTGTGGGCACTCCAATATATGCCCTGAAAACACCAGGGGCCAGCCATCCCTTGCCTTCAGCGCCCTGATCCCCGAGAGCCATCCAGAAAGTTTGCAAGTGCATGCTGTTAGTGACCATCCACCACTGAAAGTTTCCCAGGCCTCTGTGGGCTGCCTGCTGCTGTATAAGTCTCCAGTTGCTTGTGGGGCAGGACCGGCTACCCAGGAACCTAGAGTGTCCCAGTCAATGCCACACTACCTGGGCAGGTTGGGGTTCCAGGGAGTCACCAAGGTGGTGTGCGCACACGTAGATTTCGCCAGACCAACGCAGTCCCTGATTTGGCCCTGTGAGGATGGGTTCAACACTGGAAAGATGGCTCCCTCCTGTAGGCTACCTGTGAGGCAGGCTCCACACAGGGATAGTGGCATCTGTAGTTCCAGCCCTTGCCATGAAGCTACACAACTCAGTCTTTTTCTGTATGTCTTTGGCACCTCTCAGTTTGCCGCCCT